GGGGGGGGGGGGGGGGGGGGTAGGAAAAAGCGTTTACGAAAGTTTTCAATTACATTAGAGGAGGGCATTAAGCCCGTCTTCGACCTGCCCTGCGTGTACAGTTCACCTGGGATCCGCCATGGACTCGCCCCGATCCGAGGGGATGGAGCGCGGGTAAACTTATAAACTATGAAAGTTATTTTCCTATTCAATGAATTGACCGTGCATCCCGCGCTACGTGCCTCGAAACCATTTCACCTCCGGCGTTTTCTCTCTGTGTCTCTCTTTCCCCCCCCCCCCCCCNGTATTTCTCTTTTCTTATCTCTCTCTTTCTCTTTCTTTCTTTCCCTCTCCGTGCCTCTTTCTGTCTCCTCTTCCCGCCTCCCTCGCCTATATTATCTATCGCCTCGCGGAGGAGAAAATACGGCGAATGGGCCAGAAAATTAGCAGTTTTCGCGGGAAACGCAAGCCGAAAACGCGAAAAAAACGAGCCTAGAGAGAGGGGGAAGGGAGGGATTTCTCCGCTCTCCGACAGCTGCGATTGTGTAAATCGAGTTATTTACATTCCGCGTCGTTATCACGGTTCCCTGACGTAGCACGCAGCAACGAGAATTCAGACACGAGCTCCGAGCTTGCGTGAAATCAGCAGGGACACGCGGAAACTCCGAAACACCCGGTATACACGCAGAGTCTTGCGGTATATCAGCAAGCGGTCGATATAACACGTGCGCGGAGACTGACTGACGACAGTCATTACTACCGATCGGCCCCGAACAGCCGATAATTTCGGAATGTCGATGTGTGTCGCACGCGGAAACGCCACGGAAACCGCGCGCACGTCGATGTCTGATCGAGCGAAAATGCTGTCGCTCTTCGTCCGTTTTCAGGGAGATTCCACTTCAAGAAATTTCAGGAGCATCAAAAGATACACCTAGAATATTCCATTAATGCCGTCCCATTTTTTAAACATCGCAGTGACATCGGAAATTTTCTATTAGGCGTATCGCTTTTTTTTTTTTTAATATTTCCTCACCGTCACTGCGATTTTTTTCAAGCTGGTCTTTGCCGGTCCACGGAATAATCAATCATCATGATACACGAGTGTTCAGGAATGACGCGCCTAATTTCCGATGTTACTATGTCTAGAAAATGGGACAGCATTATTTATTCTTATATGATTGGTTGCGTTCAGCGAAGAGAGCAGCTAATAAGCGCTTCCCGTTGCGTTTTGCAACTGTTATAAGATTTTCTGCTGAACGATATTAAGCAATTTACGCCGCTCCCACATGTTTACCGAGCGGTCGGGTCTATTAAAAGTACGCTGGAAAAGACGGCGATCGTTTGGCAAACGTGTCGCAAAAGCGTAAAACGCTGGTGTCGTTCGGCGGAAAATTTTACAACAGTTGCAAAACTTGCCGGGCAACATAGCGCGAAGCGCTTGTTCGGCTGCTTTTCCCGCTGAACGCATCCATTGTGTTCTAAATTAACGCTTATTTTTCTTTGCCTCATTTCTTATCGATTGCGCGCCACACGGCTACGTGCAGGTTCACACATTTTCCTCTCCCTTGAATTTGAATCAATATACACATGCATGCTCTCTACATTTTTCTAATTTCTTGACTTAAAGTAAACGGGAAGATATTTCTAAAGAATCACGTTATCCGAAAATGCGGGAAACTGAGAATCGGTTTTTCTGACATTTCAAATCTATCTACCCCCCCCCCCCCCCCTTAAA